GTGCACAACCGATACAAGCATATATATGCATGCGCGATCGTACTATTTAGCAATAGCTATTTAATGTATCCGAGACAAAAATTGTAAGAATTTACGCGAAGACTAATGCAGTTCGAATTTCACCGATTCAATATGGGATAATATAATAATATACAGATTGACTATGCCGCACAGCAAGGCAGTAAATAAACTGTGCTTGACTCTTGATCTACAATAATACTATCGGTTATTCTGTTGTCATAGGAGTTAAGCCATACATAAGTTCCGTGTACAGATTTATACGTCTGGCGCCGACAAGTTTAATGCTTTTTATCACATGATGCTGGATTATATATCAGCGAATGAACGCGTCAGTGAAAATTTTTTTTAAGAAAGACGCGCGCTATATTAGGGTATGTGTGCATAAAAAATCTATGTTCTTTTTGTTAGTTCATTTCAAGCTTCAACATATATAGTACGCGGTTTATAGTCACTTTAGTGAGTGAGATTTGAGAAAGTCGTCGCACGCAAGCACACGGTCACTGTTTATTGTACATTAGTAGCTACTTGAACAGCCTCTAGCCATGTACGTAATCATATTCATATAGCCTCAGGATGTTTCGCAGAAACCTCGACGGCTATACAAGCCACACATTAACTCAATTAAACATCAAATTTATAATGTGTTTAATGGATTAAGGAAGTAATTATAAATCAGTTATATCAACCGCTTGAAAATATAAAATTTAATAAAAATAACGAGGTTGTTATGCATCTTTAATACAAATAACAATGCATGAAGACTTATTTTCAACTAAGGAACTTCTATCGCGTAGTCCAACCATCTATCAAGTTCTAACTAACTTAATAACTGACGTGAAATATAGTATATCAAAACACATCAGTATAGTGAGTAACGACTGTAAGGCATATAACTCAGTATTGCCAAGTCCTATAGTGCATGTATTACCAATCAGTAAACATCTGTGAAAGTTCAGTTTCTTAGGCTACCGAACTTCTTGTTGAACTTTATATTTCAAACAGACAAAAGTTCTGAAATAATGTGTTTAAAATACCACTCTCCACAAATTAAAGGTTAAAAAAAATTGAAGAAGTATATAATCAGATATAGGTAGACGAGAGTTTTTTAGAATCCACTCTAGTCTTCGAGTTTTAGTTTAGTTATTCTAAACACTTCTCTTTGGCTTTGGATTATTCCAAACTATATCGACGAAGACAATTTATTCTGGCATCACGCACGAATGATGCTTATATATACGAACATATACCAAACGTGCTTAATTAGTGGCACATTGCGTTGCAATGTAATTCCTTTCCGTCTTTGACTTTGTTAATATATTATCCCATTTTTTATATGCATTAAAAATCTCCCACATTAGCTTATAACGGCCATCCTCAGGTTACATCCATGCATTTATTGTTGTTACAAAAGAAAGCCTTTTGTCGTTAGTGTGGATCGATGATTCACCTATATAAATGTGCATTCAAATATTTTGTTTTCAAGTTATTGCTTAAAAATTTATTGATGTGAGAACTTCTTTTATAAGTTCATTTAGTAATTCGGAATTAACGTAGCTAACCTGAATTTAAAAATATCGCCCTTGCAACTTAATTATAGTTATATAACAACATATATATTAAGCAAGAACAAAGACAAAATAACAAAACATGATAGCATATTATAAGAGTCCTTTTTAGCGTCCTTATTACCATGTTGACATGCATTTGTGCATTATTGATGACATATTTAAAATAATTGAGGTTTTTTCAATACAGGACTCTAGAAACCTCCTAAAGCAACTAAAAACAACCTAAAGGCATGCAGAAAATCACACCGATGTTGTTCGGTGTGATATTTAGAAGAATCAGTCCACCATCCCTAGCTATATAGCTATATTCGGCATATATTTCGTCAATGTCTAGAAGCTTAAAGATAATTGGTGGCAATATATCATCCGTCTAAAACGTCCATTTGATTTCTCTTCCCACCATTTGAATGCCATTTATGGCAATAATGGTATCATGATGTGTATATATAATGTATGCATTATGCTTATATAATATATGAAATTCCAAATTCGGTCAATTATAATGCAATTAATATTCTTATGAGAATACTTATCTCGTTCTCTTTATACTATATTTTCCTGAAGTTTGTTCATTATCTCCTATAGGAAAATGCTAAACTAGTCCAAATTACTGACAGTTTAGTAACTTTAGTTTATACTAGTTTCTTGCCGGCAAATGCAATGTTTAGGATAAATTTCTGAATCGATAGTCATGTACGGCTACACATACTGACAGCATGCATGTAATTCGCGATAGTTAATTTAATTTATTCAAAGAGAATAATTGTAATATTAAAGACAGTATCAATTTTAATAATGGTGCATGATTGTAATGATGTGCAATGGCCGCGATAACGACCTTGAGTGTGCCGTCCCAATATCTGAAACAACTCGAAGGTTTTTTGCATGTAATTCTGTCATATAGGTGATTATAAGAGAATGCTTTTTGTGAATAAGTTAGATATTAACAAATGAAATACCCATGTCGTTCAAAAGCAACATTTAGATTAAAAGAATCCTTGAAAAATCTTAGCTGAAAATAATATTGTCAAAGTAGTTATAAAACATTTAACAGAAGCGAAGACAGGTTAAAAGCCTTTTTAAGTGTAATTTTGTTACCCTGAGGGTTTGTAAAGTGCTAACGCAGTAAGAACTTAATCTTGATTGATCACAGAATGCTTAATATGGTAAATCAGGAAGTATAAGTGTATAGTATATAGTGGGAGCAATTTTTAAGTGTGCATTTTAAAGTGAAGGCACAAAGTGACCTAAAGTTAAGTTTCTTATCATTCGTGAGTCTTTCAAGTATGTACAGTATGTAATACTAAAACATCGTATATTGAATATAAATATAAAGAGTTAAAATTTAATGAAAAATAACTTATAAATTATTAATACTGATATAGCTAGATTGCACAAATCATTCTTCTTGTAGCATCACCCTAATTTGTGCAGCAAGCAGTAAAAAGCAAATTTTTTAGGGTGAAGGGCATTGTGGTTGTGGGCAGTTGGTATGCGCAATTGTTCACATATAAATTCATCTAACTTCACTACAAGTGGTCTTGCCAAGGACTAATTTGGCAATTTGCCAAGACCCCTAGACTAATTAGCAGAGCCCAAAATTATTTGCCAACGCTGTTACAAAACTAATTGTATACACCAAACTGTTCCCCAAAAAAAGTCCTTATGTGCAACATTGTTGCATTGTAAAATGTTAACTTTGGATTTATTTTTTTCCTTTGCAGTGCTGCGGGTAAAGGTTGTCGGTTCTCTCAAAATCGATCGTTCGGACGAGACGCCACACACACCAGGGGTCCTTCGTTTTGAGAAGATTTACTATCCCATCCGAATCATTAAGGTTTATAAAGGAAATATTTCAGGCCTCGTTCATCTGAAAACCTTGCGGCGTCGTGTGAACAAAGTCAGATATGTCTCGAGATTGTATGTTCCATCGCGAATCTCCTCCTGCAGTTTAAGCTTAACGAAAAGGCGGATATATGTTGTTATGGGACAAATACATCAAGGCGTTCTTCATCACGGCTTATGCAATTGGCGTTTAAATTGGAAACATATAACCAGCGTTCAGCTGAACGGCCTGAAGAGGCATTATGCCAAAGGTTGTGGGTGCAGTATTCGTACCTGCCCCACGCGTGGATGGTGTAAGAATTCGCAGATGGCTACAGAGTGTAGGTGGACATCTGATGAAGGGTTCGGTGTGTCGAAATGCGTAGACAGGTGGCAAGTATGCAGGTATAATAGCAAATCACGCCGATGCAAGTGGAGGAAAGCAGAGCAATCCAATTTTAGGAAGTGTGTTAAGAGATGGTCATAAAGAGACGATTTATGGAAGAATGATACAGTCCGCATATACCGAACCGTAATGTCCAGCACCTTTGCGGTGCTGGATTACCACTGTGAACAAAATTTTTAGCTTTAGTTCATATACCTATTGAGGAGATACTTAATAGAAATGAGTTTGATATAGAAAGCTTAAAAGTATTCGGCACTGTATAGGTGCAGTCCTATAGTAAAAAGAGAGGATAGAACAGGTGAATTACTGCATCGCAAGATTGTAATACAGTCAGTCAAGTAGTTTATAAATTGCAGGATGCAATACGATACTGTGTGTGCGTTATGAAGACATTGCGTTGTAATTTATAGAATAGATTTTGTAAATACAATAGATGTACAAAGTATATGTATAATTGAACAATGTTAAACGATATGATAATAGGATGTTTCTTTAGCGTATCCCGAAAAACTGAGTAATAGTGGTATTATTTTTATCAGGTTAAATTTTCTAAGAGTCCTACCCATGAATCAAGGTGAGCATTTGAGGTGCATCCAGTCGTTTTCTAAACAACAAATTATTGCTTCCAGCAATATATTAACATAATTTGCTAATAGGGTTCGTGTTTTCCCCTTTTCTTTATGCATGCTGTTCTCTCAGGCATGGACTGAACACGATCTTCTTTCGTGTCGTTTGAAATACGAGAAGGCGAAAATGATGTGAAGATGCTCGTTACAGTTACAGTTACAACTATTGTTTCTTCCTAAAGCGAACCCAAAATTGCCGCAAACCAGCATCGTTGTCACAACGGCAGGAACATGCAAGAATATTCCGACATAAACCATGCATTGTTTTGACGTTTACTTTAGACTTCATGTTGAACCTAATGTTAGGGAGCTGAGTCTTTTAATTTGATTTGCATTTGTGTGAAGGTTTTATCTAGAACAGAAGGTTTTATCTAGAACAGTGAAGGTTTTATCTAGACTACAGTTCAATAATATACATAGTTCTCCCTTTCGGCTATAATGAGAACTTGGCAACCTATATATAACGATTTATTATTATACACAATGGGCTGAATTATCGTATTTTTGATAGGAAAGTAGATACGAAAGTTATAGTGAAGAAAATTACACACTTACCATTTCTTTGTGGTTTGGATAATATGCCTGTGGAATAAGTGGGAAAATGTCATTTCCAAGCTTTCGTTGAATTTGAAGAAGGTGCGCAAACTATATCATATAAGAAAAAACAAAGTATACAAAGACGATAATGTTTTCTCCCATACGTCTAAAAGTTCTCATAAATATTTATAGAATGAATGAACATATATGTTTTTAAACATGGTTTGGCATAATTAGATAGCCTGGAAAAAATTGGAATATAAAAATCGATAGGCGAATCCAGTTGTATCGGAACTGCAGAACAGAGAAAAGTCTTTAACTTCAGTGGTGAAAAAATTATATAACTACACTTAACATTATAAGACTGATTAAACTAGTTTTGTAGTCAAAACGAAACGCTGCATGGGAATGATACATCTACCCAAGAAAACCAGTTCATGATTGATAATAAGTATAAGTAAAATAGGAATAAAATTTTAAGCGGAAAAGTGTGGTTATAGAATAGATTTAAAGTTTTTCAAGCCAGTTTTTATTGTGTACGTTATATCAATAACTCCATGCTTGCACATTGCGCATTTGACGGTTTTCGGTGCCGTGGACTGAGGATGCATAAATTAATTCGTGCGGAAGCATCCCCTCCCCTCCCCGCCATATAAATATAATATTTTTTACATTTGTTCTGCACCTAATATTGATTGCGATATGATTATATACTCTGTTATAACTTACCACCCATGGTTTCTCCAGAAAATTAAAAACTGACTCCAGTGAGTTTATACTAGGAATGTTACCATATTTCATGCCAAAAAGCAAGGATCTCCAATCTTCCTTTGACCCAAGACCACGCACAGATTGCCGTAGCAAAATAAGGTCAGGGCGGAAAGATCTACGTCGGATGTAAAAAAAATCATGACATTTAAATAAGTAGTATAGCGCCGAATGGCTCGAACTAACTTTCCGAAATCCTATAAGAACAGGCTGGAAATATGTCACATGATAAAAATTTGATTAAGTTATGTGCTGCTGTTAGAAATTAAATTTAGATTAAAGATCGCCTTTATCGCATTGTTTTTCACGTTCATGTCCTCATTCCAAACCCTGCATCTTAACTAAGTTCCTATTTTATTTTATTATTTTGCCCATCCATCGTATACACCTTCACACTGGGCTTAAAGTAAAAGGTAATGTTTACCTAGCTCAGCTTTGAGATGCACCTAATAAAATTATCTGTGAACTGTGAAGTACTGTACTTACGAAATGAAGTGCTGTGCTTATACTGTACCTGACAACAACGGTTCCTTCACGTCTAACCTGAATGTCGACAACAGTACCACTGTCAGAGTAACTGGCAAGATTGAGCTCGGAAAATTCTGCCTAAAATACATCAGTTGAAATAAACTCGTACATGCAGTGAATAAACAGAAGCAAAAAAAAATTATCATCATCTGAGACGATTGTCATGCCACTATTATTATCTGTGATTATCATACTGAGATCAATAAATTATTCCATATGTTATTATTAGTGCATGTGATCAAATTACTGGATGCAGATTTGTCAAGCGGAGTGCAAATCAACGATTTGCAAAAAATAACAAAATATGGCGAAAGATTTTGCATAAAAACTAAACAGCCCTGAAGGAAATGAGAAAGGCCTGAAAGGTTAACTAAGATACCAGCAAAAGTAATAAAGATTGGATAAAATTTTGGCAAGATTGTCTTTTGACAAAAAATTATGATAAAAATTATCTTTAAAAAGATCGCGTTAAGCGATACCAAAATTTTAGAGCTCATACAGTTCCACAAACCTGCTCAACTCGCAAGTCTTGAACATTATGGCTAGCTTGTCGATCTTTAAAAACCGATATCCTATATCAGATGGAAAAAGGAGACTTTAAAATTCATAAATTTAGCATGTTTAACAATGAACTTGCTATTTCAACCGAAATGCCTTCAGTATAGGCGGATAATTTTAGAACAACGTTGCCAAGGACATGAACATCGCTCAAAATTGTTGAGAATCTCGACCGCATACTTAAAATTTAGGATATCCTCTCTCTGTCACCACACTTTCACGTGGATTTTCAGAGGCAGTCACAACTAGCCAGACACGCAGTTAATCACTATAGTTGACGAACGAAAAATCAGTTTATCTGCTAGCTATGAATATCCTATTCAAAAACACAAGTTAATAATAGTCGAAGTCCACGTTTCACTAATTTGCTCAGTAGTAGGAAATAGGAATATGGCGATCCTTGCTCATTTTCCAATTTCTATCAATTTCTTCCAACATCTGTCAATCAGTACGTGCCTCCAATTTTTTCCAAAACCTCTCAATTTCTTTCAATTTTTCCCAATTTTTACAATGTCATCAATATATTTTGCTGACTCAACAAAATATGTTATTTCACCGAAAAATCAAAACTGATAAAAACTGTGGCGTGCAAATATAGGATATTTCTCCTCCTCGCCACATGTTTTTGATGTCACATATGTAAAAATGAAAGAGGGAACGAAATGTTCCGTTTGTCAAATGAGAAGAGTAGCATTTTACTGCCCTTCAAATATGCAAGGGAGAGTGAAACACGCTCTCTCTAAATAAGACCCCATTTAGAAAAATGAAAAGGGTGATTCATGAAGAGAATTGCTAAGTATTTAGTATTTCTTCTCGGATACCTAACAACAATAAACCTACCCTTGTTGCTGTTTATTTCCTGATAAAGACTTATGTTCGTACAATCTACAAGAGTTTTCATCGAACCAATTTTAAAAAGTCATTCTATTTTGCAATATTTTAAACACCAACAACAAGGCATGCATAAGTTCACGACTTCCAGATGTTGGCGAACTATAACTTTATAAATTCAAATATGTGTAAGTAATTTATTAAATACGTATTTCAAGGAAATATTCGACAGCATCATGGTTACATGGAATGGGTAAAAATTTGTTGACATCTTTATGTTCCCATTCTTGATAGGTTTTATTCCACCAATATGTTGGACAAATTAGAACATGTCAAATTATTTCCTGTGTAATCTTTCTTTAACACATTAATAATGTGTTTTTCCACATCCTGGAACAATTAATGTACCCCAATAAAATTCACAATCTCTCACACAATATCTTTTGTCGTTGTCTCTTTCAGTGTTATTTCTAGCAAAATTCCAGATTTTTCTTCCGTTACCTGTGACGTCGTTGTCTTCAAATGTTCGGAGATCAATAGCGAATGCATAGTTGTTGTCGGAAAGAATTGAGTAATTGGCATTGTATCTCTCTTTTGGTTTAGGAAGACGTTTTTTGAATAATCTTGATATATCCAATCCTTGACTTCGTGATGTTGGGGTACACATATTCCTCGCGGCTTGTACATGAGCGTCTTATTTTTGAATATTGGAAGATTAATGTTCTCGTTGATGTATGTGGTGTCTTTCCTTCATAAACCTTTTTCATCATTTTTATGTGTTCGTACCTGAGGGTTCGTCTAACATCGTAACTATTAAGAGCTACATTGTACAATTAATACAGCACTCTCTGTTGTTGTTGAATATTCCGCGTATATCCTGCAACACTTTTCCAAGATTGGGCGATCATAATTTTGTCTGCCTTTGGTAATTTAATTCTATAGCGGACATTCCTATTCATTTCAAAATCGGGTTAAAAGACTATGATCATTTAGGATTTTACCAAGTTTAGTCTTCAGCCTACCGTCAAAGATACTTTCCAAGTCAGCAAACACTGTTCGCGGCAGAACAGTGGCTCCGACGCAAATTTCGATTCCGTAGACAGTCGAATCGAGTTAGCTTCAAGATTTAGAAGATCGACGTAGATGGTGAACGATTAATTGTGAAATTTTACGCGGAAGAGAAGATTCCTGTTAGGGAGGATTGAGGATCCTTTACAAGATTTTAGGGGAAAGAAAAATTTTGAGAAAAGGAAAAGGAATGGTGTTAGTAAAGTGGTTGCATGGTATATGATATAACAAACGTAACTCGTGGATTCGTGAGAAAGATATAAAAACTCTTTATGGGATGACGGCACAAGATGACAACAAGTGTATTGTAGCAAAAAGTATAAATACACACGGTAGAACACACATCGAATAGACACGGTGGGACACTGGGAAGAATTGGAAGGAATTGAAAGAAATTGGGAATTATAGGATGAAATTGGCAGAAATGATTGACAGATGTTGGAAGAAATTGAAAAGCTCCGTAGTCCGCCCCTGGTAATTATCAAAATGCTCATCGTGAGTTTTCATTCTGGACTTCATTCTTCCTATAAACGTTACATGTTACCAAGCGACGGAGTTTGCCTTTAAAACGGACAAGTTTGGACAAAATGATTGGCACTATAATCTCTGTACCACTCTTTCCATCCACTGATAAGTTGTCGTACATGGAAGGGGAAATAATTAATGTTTGCGAATGGCCGCAAACGAGGTCGGTGACCCCCAATTTTTTTACGCTATAGATGCTTTATCGGTAAATTCTGTGATGGGGATTTTTCAGTTAACTTTATTTTACACTTTCTTACTTTATTTCACACATAGCCCCCCAATACATTAGAGTTTTTTCCAAAGTGTTGTTGTATATATTATATCTTTGTTCAATTCAGTGTAACTTTGTCGTATATAGTGTAATTTAATCTAACAATCATATAAACTGTGTACTCTAGTAATTTACGTACTGCCGTGAGAAGCACTTTATACAATGTAATTCTTTGTATACAATTCATTCTATTCCTTACGTCATCAAGCTAGAAGTATAGCGGAGAAAAAGAAGAGCCAGAGTTAACTGCGAATACAAATGAAAATATTTAAACCAGTTAACTTCAGTATTTTCCAGTGGTATATAGTATTTAAATCTGTTTCGGCTCACATGAGCCCGGTTACCCGAGATTTAAGGAAGCGTGAGATGATTTCGAGGCATGAAAATTAGTTTTCGGCAAACAACACGTGCCATTAGGATGGCAACATGCACGACTACGAGCTAAAATCGTTTAATCATTTCAATACTTCTTCCTAAATAGTCTGAGACCTTCCGGCAGACTTTTTTTATGCGGTGGAAATATTAGTGATTCTGCTAACTTCAGCGAAACTAAATTTTAAAAACATTAGCTGTTGGAAAACGTCCATGCTGTCATTGCTGTGTTACAGGCAATAATACATAACCTCTGCCAAAAATAACCCCAACCGTGCCACGCAAGCATGTTTTCAGTTATCCTTCACTATGAAAAATTTCATATTTTTCCTTCTGCCCCATCTCATTCAACCACATACGACCAATAACCGGGCAGTAGAAAATCAAGATACAACTAGCAGCAAACTACTTTAAGTGCAATATATATAAGGTATTGTGTAACCAAATACAAAATAACCTCGCGCATATATACACTATAACTCAATCATCTGCGATTTTGAATATTTAGACAGAGGCAGGTCAGCGCAGCTGGACGTGTGCGCTTTAAAATGTGCACGTGCAACTTAAAAGATCAACATTATAATCATTAATGCATCTGCTTTGGACTTCAACTTTAATTATACTCGTCCTTCGGCAGAATTTCTTCGACTAATGGAAAATGGAAAAGCGACGAAGGCTGGAGCGAATAATAATAGCTGTGTAGACTGTAGTGACGAGAACCACGAATCATAAAAATAATAATCAACGCGTTTGTGTTAAATGATGTCAGCGAGACATCGACATGCTCCCAATTTATGCAGCAACAAACAACAGCAGACGAAACACACGTAAAGGACGAAAGATCGCAACGTCCGATTTCAACTGGACACCGCATATTCATATACATAGCATATATTAGTCAATATGCAGCACATTCATATAGCAACGGATGCCTGGTGACATGATCATATTATGCTTCGGATAATAATTCATTAAAGTAAATATTCCTATGGCTATGTATAATAATCCAAATGCCGAGCCGCTCATGCCGTATATAAACGAGCGATCGCAAATTCGAATTGGAAAACTAACATTTAGCCTTAGTAGGAACAATTTGTACATTTGTAAACGTACGTACCAGTCAGTTTCAGGCGTATCAACGACGAGGATAATCTTATTCCTCTTGCTCGATGGGTTCCTCGGAGTTTGACTGCTTAATCCGAACGGATTGTGCTTCTGTGGCGAATTTGCGTGGGTTGGCGAGTTTCCACGCGATGCCGTTCCATTGAATGAGCGGTTATCGATTATGCCTTTTGTTTGGAGTCGTAGTTTTGTGAAGAAATTATCCATTTTGGGTCGAGACTCTAAGCGCTAATTTGTCTCGATCGACGTAACCAACTCACGGTTCTCTCTCTCCAAAGAATTTGAAAATGTTTGCGAAATATAAGCGGCCAAGGATGAGATAAGATTGTCCTAAAGGACTTTACTCGGTGTCTAGACCGTGTCCAAATGAGACATTGTGGAACACAAGTTCTGCAAGCGCCATGGACGGTTTAGTTTGCGCCTGAATTTCAGTATTGCTTACAGAGGAATTTGAGTTACTCTTTGATCCAAGTTTTAACTGAAACAAATATTGGCGTCCAGCGACCTTTAATGGCGTGTGGCGTTTACGCTGTTTTTTGTTATGCGTAAGTGTTATTTACATTTTCTCCACCTGCATACGCCCAAAATCAGTGAATATTATTCATGATTTTAACTTTTTGATCACATATTGGGTATTTCACGCATGTTGTGTTCCCGCGCATGTTGCTCCAACACCAGCTTTTGCTTGTCTTGTTATATTCATATATAGCAAGTCAAGAGCTGGTGTTTGTGTATACGCGTATACATGGACAGCGTCTCAAGAAAGTGCACCCTTTGGAATCTAGATTTTGCTGATCTGAATGCCTGATTATGCTATGCCGGTCTCGCTTTTCAATTTCAAACGCACGTAGATTTAGATTAGTATTGTAAGACATTCCTATAATTAAAACAAAATTATTCCTATAAGGGACCTTTTAGAGCACAATGCATGCACTGTTCTGTATAGGTATAGAATGAACATTTTATACCTAAAATCTCACTCTTGTGATAACTTATCGCACTTTTTAGCACGAGCTGAACAAGTGCAATACATTGTTCTTCCTTAATCTTTCCGTGAAAATTCGCGAAAAAATATATATACTTGTTGTGGCATGCCTATATAGGCAGGACATGCGCAATGCGACATGCACGGCACTTCAGGGTTTCTTCAGTGAGAGGGTAGAAACTTTCGCCTAAATTTTTCATTTTGTGTTTGCCACACAGAGAAAGTATCTATACACTTTAAAATTAAAATTAAAAATTTATTGTTTTTACCTTTGCATCCCCGTTTTTTAACTTGATTGTTCGTGATTTTTTAAAAATCGAACCTTTGTTGGAACCCACAGGTGAATGCATAAAATGCATTCTCAGCCTTAGCTTAATTGTTATAACAATTAAGATTTCATAACTAACTTAGTTCAGGGTTGTAATAAGCTGAGACATTCGAATTCAAAAAGGCCGACTTCAAAAGGCGTGTATGTTCGCTATTATTATGGCGTATATAGCCCTTCGATACGTGTTACCTCAACTTATAATGCTCGGACATATTGGAGCCGATTGTTGTAGGGAATTACCTTCCGTAAAATTCCTCCCATGAAAAAATTCTATTTCACTGAAGTTCACTATTTCACTTTCTTAATATTTATCCTAATTTAATAATAATATCTTTTGCTCAAAATATATGTGAATGGCAAAATGGGTGAAGTTTTAACACTTCCTGAAAGACGTGTAATGCAATGTGCAATTCGATTCCCGGTTCAAGTTTATGACTTAGCCTATATATTAAAAGTTGAGTTTTCATGACAATCATTGACGTTTTTGAAAGCAATTAAAATTTTTTATGACCAAAACCGCTGAAATTTTGTATATTTCATATAACATTAATGCTAATTTGAGTATTTTGTCAAAACCGTTCAACAGCCGCATTCAGTTTGCCAAACACATTATGCATGTTGACATAGCTGACGAAATGTTTTTCGAATGGTTTCAAACAGACATATTTCATATATTATTTATGTAAACACTTGACATCAGGCGACATATCATCAAGAAGATCTAGAATAATATATTACGCATTCGTTACCATGGCATTTCCAAGGATTGAAATAAGGTTTTATCCCTGTACGCCTAATGCATGCTTATTTTCTCGAAAAAAGGTTGTCGAAAAGTGGACAAGTTTCGCACCGAGCTGCCACGTATTTTATTGACTGTACTAAGCGTATCCCGTTGACAGAGCCTAGGATTTATATTCGGACAGAAAAAAAGACGTAAATTTATTGATAGAAATTATCTAATTCGAGTTAAATTATTGTAAACGTAGATACAGAAAGCAGCCGCTCATACAAATGAGTTCGCCTTTTTTATTAAGGTCGATATCTTTTATTAAGACCGCCAAACAGGCCACCTCAAAGCTAGACTCCAGAGCCGTATTTAGATTCGTGGAAGGGGGGTTGTATATTCATATATTCATATATTCGTCTTATTCCCGACTGATTTCTTTTTTGCGCTATTGTTCCTATGGTATATAAACATGAATATATATATATATATATATATATATATATATATATATATATATATATATATATATATATATATATATATATATATATATGAATAATTATATATACCCCGCCCCCAATTAAGCGATCTAGCAGCGAAAGACCCCTCCTGACCAAGTGTGTATGTAACGCGCAAAGTTACACGTTCTATCTATAAGAGACCTATCTCTCAGAGATCTTACCTTTTTGATAAATTTTTTGTCGGGAAAGCTTATATGAAATACTTTTCTTTGCACGGTGTTCTATAATTGTGAGAGTCGTATATTTATTACCTTCGTCGGACAAAGCGTTGTTGGCAAATTAGTAAACGCCCCCGCCTTAATCGGAATGTCTTTGAAAGTATCTCGCTAACCAGGAGGGTTTTGACTTAGCAATAGACTAAATTAATGCAGATGGGCGGGGTTATATATGGGTGGCAAAAATTACCCTTACTGAAGGTTTTTTAAACTTTAATTATCGTAAAATTACTGTTAAGTTTAGCCACGCACAGTCCCGCTCAACTCGATCTGTCTCCATGTCAACAATAACCGAAAATGGCAGTAACAATCCTCTCGGAAAAGACACTTTAGCACATTTAATTTAACACTACGTGCATCCTAAATGGCGATCGACACACAAACTGCCGCATTAGTTTCAGTTTCAGGATTGGGCATCCACCCACAATATCCAGATATTTAAATTTGTCACAAAGCCCAAACATGATCTTATAGAGCCTAGTGTTACACAACCTATGAATTATATGTGATTCTTATATAGGTGCGGACCGTGCGGTGTATTTTAAATGTGATGCATAGGTTCATTCGTAGGCACATGACTTGAAATAAATGCATGCCTCCCGCCAGGGAAACAAGTGTAAAATTGTCGCCCGCATATTGTACGTCATAAAAAATAAAACAGCCGATGAAGCCGAGAACTAAAAAAGAGCACTCCTCAAGCTGGTCAAAAGGATTCAGAAAACACTCTGACTCTTTTAAAGCCACATAGGCTTTGCATGTTGATTGCGAAGTGTTTTTATGAAATGAAATTGTTGTGCTAAATGAATGCTTTTATTCCTATAGTATAACAATGCACTTAATGTACACTCCCTTGGGAAAAAGTGAGTTTCTTTTCCCTCGAATCTCAATGTTTTGGTGTGAAAGGAGTGTTTATCTTCTGACACCAAGCTTAAGAATCGAGGAAATGACACAGGAACACTGGTATTGTGTACAGCTATTATATATCATGTTTTTCAAATGCTGCACTACAATGATGTTCGATTCAGCATAACACTTAGTCGGTGCTTTTCTACATTTTTTTGTGTTTAGTTAACACTGCAAGATTTAGAACCAGTTTATACCTTGCATTTTGTTGCGTCACTGAACATTAATAAAATTCAATTAATAGATATAATATATAATAGTGATTGATATAGTTAGTATAGGATGATAACGCTTGACGTATAAACTTGCTCTAACAGTGATTCAATTTAACACTGATTTAATGACCCAAGCTTCTTTGTTTTATTTGCGAGAGTAAGACAAGCCAGACTACCAGTTTTATGTGGGGGAAGGGGTTTAGGGAATGAAGTCTCAAATATCCAAGTTGTAAACTAATACTCTAATAAATTAGTCTCAAAAAAACTCACGCCACACCTTTATTTCGTCTAAACTGATTCTGAACGCTTGCCCTGTACCGATACCAGGGACTGAACAGGGATCGCGAGTCCCTGTAACGTTGACCTGACCAGGGGGACGAACCGGGCGATAACGCACAATGAACAGTCCCTAACCTGACCAAGGAGCGATAACGCACAATGGGCATTCCCTAACTTGTCCAAGGGGCGATAACGCACAACGAACAGTCCCTAACCGTTAACAAAAACTCAATAAAAGCTTGTGCAATTTCCCATCTACCCATATAACGAATTAAATGCTAAAGTTGAGCAATGTTTGGGAGGGTGGGTGTAAATTTTCGAGAGCTCTGAGTATAACGAAGAGCTATGAAAAGTGATTGCCTATTACCATTTGTCGCACCTAGGGTATATTGGTTTTTAAAATCACGAGGCTCTTTGCCTTATTCGCCAGGTAGCACGTCCTCAGCATGCATTGGCCCTGTGACTAACGGAAATTATCTTTGACCCATGAGATCATCAAGTCGAGGATGCAATGACAATGACAATACTTTGGCGAAATTTACCTTGAAGTCAACGCACACGATCAGGTTTTCCCTGCCAACACCTTCGGTGCGTCGTCCTAATGAACTTATATTTATATGCATAAAAAATTTCTTTAATGACCCATCATTTTTCTTTGTTTTATTTGCGAGAGTAAGACAAGCCACGATGGATTAGAGTTCGATGTCAAGATTTTGATAATTGATTTTGAAATTAATATAGCTAGCTTCATAGTATATACCCTCAATAAAGCTACAGCCAGCAATGCGTCCCTTGTAAAAAATAATTCCGAGTGAACAATTTATCATAGAAATAGTAGACATAGAATGCGTACTTATACGAATACGTGTCCCAAATTTTTTCATATACGCCATCTTTGGAGAAAAAATTTTATAAGGGAAGAGGTACCAGTACGCATTCTATGTCTATTATTTCTTTAATGCATGCACCCTTTCAGTTTGGCAATGCAATTACTGTGTGATATTACGCAGATTTTTTTATGATACGTGTAAAAAGCCGGAAAGAACTGTCAGCTATAAAGGCCTTGACAATAACGGAACAACAGTCAACTGCACAACAGCAGATATCGCTGTAAAAAATAGATCTATTTATTATCGATCCTTAACTCAAGTACAGCTGGTTCCCCTGGTATCAGATCGCATGCACATGCAATTTAAAAGTAACACCAGGCAGATTGGATGTTTTCATTAAATGCATAATATAAAAGAGATTTAAATTATCTGGATATGTACGATATAGTTTTGAATGATATTTTAATGTAAATAATGCGTCTTACTCGTTAAATACGTCACCTGAAGCAAAGAGGCAACGTCACCGTTTCCCGTGCGTTTATATATTTTTAGTTTAGCTACGTAGACAAGAGTAAAATGGCGATTTGTTGGACCACGCACTTGTCGCGGAAACATCCCTAATGTTTATCAAAGAGTATCCATATTGCAACGTATTAGGTCAGAGTCACTTTCAAGAGGGTAGCTTTACGTAACAGTACAAGCTGTGAAAATTAATAATGAGCTTTTAGCCGCCCTCATATCAGATTTTTAAGGCATATATCATACATTTTGGATGAAGTTATTAAAATCTACTCTGTACTAAATTATCACATTAACTTAACAAATAATATACTAATGATAAATATTATTGTTCTTAGCATTTTGTTCTAAAGATAGGTATTCAAAGTACTTGTGTACTTGCCGATAAAGTTCGGTTTGAACTGTCTTACTGTGTTTAGAGTCTCAAATATAGCGATCAAAGCATACTTATTACTTAACTTGTAGGTCCCTCGTTAGTGCCCCAATCTTTAAAAAAATGTATCTCTCATTATCTATAGTGTAGCTATATATACCTTGCCATATTTGAAACAAACATTTTTTGAACGAATGTGTTTTTTGAAGTTTAAAGAACACTAGAAGTACATTCCTCAATAATAAATTATTATTTTCATACTATTCTAGTTACTGCATAAAAGCGCAGTTATATATATATATATATAATAGTAATACCAGGAAACTAATTTGTGGCAAATAGATATATTATTACGTACGCATTGGCTGATTTTTTGAAAACAAAAGAGCTATATTTGATCACAAGTTGACAAAATTCTTAATTCTATGTACATCTTCTCTCGATATGTGATGCTCGCTTTAATGACACTATTCGTCACTGTGACTTTCATGCCGAAAGCTTCTCAGTGTGGTTTCGTAGGAATGCGCAGCGTTAAATTTGATGACGCACACCTTTGCGGTTTATGAAGAGGTCACTCTGTTAGGACGCACATTAATCCATACGGGGTTCGTACATTGATGGAGCCGCCTTTGCTTCATGATCAACACAGAGAACATATATATATATATATATATATATAATATATTATATATATATATATATATATATATATATATATATTTATCAATGAATGTTCTCCGGATTTAAAATTGTTTTTTAAATCCGGAACATTCATTGATAAACAAATATGCCTGGATTACAAAAATTTTTAAACATACATATATATATAATATATATATATATATATATATATTATATATATTATATATAATATATATAGCATAATTATGCAACAACGTAATGAAACAACTCGTGCGTGTGCGTGTGCTAATTAAAGCTCTTAGAAAAGCCTTTCCGCGCATATTTTGACGTAACCATCCGTACCCTTGAGTGTATAAATTTCAGCTCAGCATTGAGGTCGGGCACAATCGAAGAGAAGTAACAAAATGGCAAGCAAAATGGCAAGTTCATCGAGAGCGTTCAAGGATTCTCCAAGTTTAAAAGTGGTGAAAAAACTGTGCAACCGAGGTATCGTCAGTCCGGAGTTCTTGAGAAATTTCAAAGAAAGGTTTGGAGCAGTAAAGGCTGTTGTAAACAGCAAACGTGCGCACAGGGCAAATGACGAAGAGTATTGGTTGGGTAAGAGGATAATGTGTATAAACTATTATTAATATATCTTAATGCAGCAAAATGATGTGCATTGCCTGCAACCTCACACTTACAGTATTTTAATTAAGCTGCATTCAGTTTAAATGGGAATATATTCACACAAGTCAAGTATGTTTAACCAAATTGTGTCGCATCGGTAAATCTAACTTTATAAGTCAGCGTATATGTTGTTGATTATTTTGCATTCATGCATTGCTTTATGATGACATGGATCAATAAAATTTCCTGCACAAAAGAGAAGCTCTCACATTGCATGCATGCTCTCAGATATTCAGCTCTTTCCCCCGAAAACCAAGTATATAATCCGGCACTGCAGGCATATTTTTGAAATTTATTCAGTGCGGAGTCGGTGCTTTTTAATCAAATGTAACATTACAAACTAAAGAAATTATACTCCCCCTTGAAGTGATTTGAGGGTCTTACACGTTTTAAAAAAGCTTATTAAGATACAATCAGTTTTTTTATCTTTGGTTCTTAATGATTTTTTTTATGTAAAGAATATATGGTACGTACACCAGGGATATTCATGCACCGAGTCTGATTTTCACTCTCGTGTGCTCAGGGTGTAAATTTTGACCTTTTTTAAAGCTCTAACAGTTTTTGATTTCATTCTCAGGCATTCGTAACATGTTCGCTTATGATGAGACAGACGCGAACGACGCCATTCCAATCAACGCCGCAAACTTCGCCCCAACTTTTAACGACGTGCAGCTGCTGATGAATCAGTATAATCTTGAGTTGAACGAGGATATTTCCATCCAGAATCGTGTTGAAGTTCTTAGTTTGGTAATCGACTCAGCGCGTGATCTGATCGCAACACAACTTGGAGTTACCTCGCAGGAAGTTGCTCTCATGCGAAACGGAACCGAGGCTAACAACAATATCAACAATGGTCAAATACTGAAACCAACTGACGAGGTATGATACATGTTGGAGGTTATCACTGAGCTTGTTTGTCAGTTATTTGTGCTTTTTACTATAGGGGGAATAATATTCATCTCTGAAACTAAAGAACCATGAAACGGTGTCTCAGTCGTGTCATTGCGCGGCCTGAATGGGTGGGAAAGTAGAGAATCCCTTAAGTTCCGAATTCATCGAATTCACTGGAAATAGCCTTAATGAATCAAAAATGAAAATCACTATCTAATTTTCGATGGTGCAAATGCATACCGATGTCCCGACAATGTAGATGGCCACCATACTCGTCTTTTCCGTGTTTCTATATTAGATTATAGCTGGGAGAAATCAGTTTACTTTTAGGCAAGCATTAAAGCAGTATCTCAAGCTCAGATAGCGGATGAAAGACCATTTACGAAATTCCTGCTGCTTGTTTTAGTCCTGCTTTGCCATATTCATTGAATTTCAGTTTCTATATCTCTATATGTCTATGTGTCAAAAGGAAGCCTAGTTTCTCGTTGAATATCTTTATATTTCATTGCTTTTATATATTTATTTTTGCCAATAATTATTGTATTTTTGATAGGTTGTCCTTTGGGAGCAAAATCATCCTACAAATGGGCGTGCCTGGTTCATCCGTCAGGCTCAACGACCATTCGTGATTCACAACATACCATCCGATTTCAATGGGGCGTCAACAGACGCCGAAATCGTAGCTGAGTTCATGAAGCTGGTTAACGAGAACACAAAGTTTGTTACATTTTCCCATCTCTCCAACGTTGGTGGCCGTCTGTTGCCGGCGGAATCAATTTGCAAAGCTGTCCATGCTCAATACCCAGACTGTCATGTGCATGTCGATGGCGCGCAGACATGGGGCTGCATGGACTTGAATTTAGTTCAGATGGATTGTGACAGGTATGACGTCCAGAAGCTTTTTGAATACCCGCGAAGAAGTTTTTTCCTATTAAAAGCATTAACCACCCACGAGATAACGTTGCTTGTGCCGCCAACACCAGTCAACAAAAGTCAAAAAATGATAATCAATTGGCCTCTTCTTCGCGACCTTAATTATTTAAATACCACAGTCCTTCTTTTCATATGCGCGACTTGATGAACTGTATGGAAAGTGTAATAATTTCGAACGTAAATTAAAGAATTTTCCAATAGATTAATGAACAACCTGTTATTTTTTAGTTATTCAGCATCATGCCACAAGTGGTTCTTGGGTCCCAAAGAAACTGGAATGCTTTACATGAAGTCGGCTCGTATTCCAAACTTTATCCCAAACACCTATGGTTACGACATGAAGATTATCGCCCCCGAGGAGCTTTACGTAGATGCCCGCAGATTCGAAACCCTTGGTCAGCGTGCAGACCCCAGTGTGATGTGCATGCTGAACACTGCCGAGATTATGGGAGAAATTGGGTTCCAGGCAATTGAAGACCGGGTCCGCTATCTGGGCACATTGGTATACGATGGTTTCAAAAATTTTCCAAATTTCCCCATGACAACACCAGCAAATTTATCTCAACGCATTGGTGTGATTATTGCAGGGGTGGACCCTGATGTAAGTTGAAATATTAAACACATATTTAAGTTGTTTTAGGTCGAATTATAATTGACTAATATTAGGAGCAAGTCCATGCATGGACAACTGCAATGAAAAATAGTCTTGTGTTTTTAACTTTTTGACCACATGCATAATGGCTGATATTAGATGTTCTCTCTCGCGGAAATCAGACGTTAGAAAGTCAGCAAAATTGTTTTGTTTGGTTATCAATTTGATTTTGAATGCAATTCGAACTATATTTTCAGGACAGTATCTTTTGTATAAAGATAATTTTATAATTCTAATTTGATATTTACTTTCTCTTTCAGTGGGGCGCGGACCTCTATAATTATTTGTACCAAACTCATAGAATCGCGGTGGCCAGTACAAGTGGTATACGCATCTCACCTACAATTTGCAACACGCCAGAACAGATGCAATTACTGTTGGATGCTGTAGCAGAATACATTCAACTGAGTCCACCTCCAAGCCCACCAGCCAACTAATGCATTATTCAGAGGATGAACTAAATGTAGTTGAAGTAGCCTTTTGAATCGTATATAACTTGAAATACGTGCTACTATAATTGGGTCAATAAAAAGTTGGAATATTCTTGAAATAAAAATTAAATTCCATAAATACATTATGCATCTCGTATTTTTCACTGTTTTCTTTTGATGGTATCCCTACATATTGGGCAAGGATGCAAGCTAGATATAAGGCAATTAATCATTTCATTCCCTTTAGCTAAATTTGCCTTTAGAATGTCAAACATTACATCCCACTATATGCTAGTTAATTGCTTTGTAAATATAAATTCATCGAAAGGTTATTTCTTATTCCATCAAGGTTGCGAAATCCCATTCGCATTTTTTCCGAAGCTGAACAAGAATTCAGTACTACGAAAAGAAATAAAATATCCATAGAATATAAAACAATCGTGTCCTAGAAATTACCAGGACATAAGCAAAATTGTCCTTGAAATACCCAGAACAAAAATGACCTTTCAAATATCCAGGTCGTCATAATGAGAATGTCCTTGAGACATGGGGCAGTCTAGTGGTAAAGAGAACGGTTTCAATTTCACTCATTTCATCACCAAATATCATTATATCGTATGATTAATGAGGTCTATTAAATACCAACCCCTGAGCTGTACTTGCCTTCGCATTAATACCCATACCAATACACTGAATTCTGAGATGTTTGTTATGTTATGTTCAGTTCTCTGCCCAACTTATAATATACAATAAATATATACAGAATCTAGGTATCAATAACATCATATTTGTAAATTTCGTAAACTGTATAGCTAATAAATGACCACGAACAACCGTCCAACTCTCACCCATGCCAAAACGACATAAATATAATGTTAAGTCTTAAGAGAAATTGTTTACTCGATCTCGTTGAATAGTCTAGAATTGTCACCGTATGCCCATAAAGATTTGATTTCATTCGATTTCGATGTTTCCGATTCCATAAGTGGCAGTGTCGATTTGTGGTTGTAACTGCATGCGAAGGTCTCTCGGCTCAAGTCTGGAATCCAACGTAATTTGACATAAATAATTGATTTTTTCTATGTTTGGGAATTAAAATGCATAGGTAGTAAAACAATAGTTGGCTAACTGCGTCCGGTTGCAAAGAAATTGTAAAATGATAATGTGACAGGTTCGCGGCAAATTTGAATTTGAGGGAGTCAGTTTTTCACTCACCTTGTAGTAATTTGCTACTACTTTATATATAATGATTTGTGCCGGTTTGAAAAGACTTGAGAAGATTTGTGCCGGCATTGCATTTTGCAAAGCTTTTGACTGCGTAAAGTTTTCATACTATCTGAGGTATTCTTTCAGAAAGAAAGAATGTGAATATTACATACAGCAGAGAATTTGGAAATTCTTACTTCAAAAATTCAATTAAAGCCTCAATTTGTTCTTCCAAATTTGGAGTAGATAATTGCAGCTTGTTGGTGAGGTCATTTTTTCAAATCTTAAGAATATGTTTTGATTTACCGCCTTACTACAATCTTCTTTTGCAATCATCTGCAGTATAGTCAAGAAACATGCATTCTTTTTTGGATTCCATTTAGAAGCTGATGCTAAATCCCTGGTTAAACTGTTCGTTGGTTTCTTCATGATCATCGCAAGATGCAACGCTTGGATTTTGCTCCTCTGAAACACGTGAACGAGATCTAACAAATGCACCTTCTTTGCCTTCAGCTTCGTTCACTGTCTCACTAATGGTACTGCCCTGTTCAGCCATGCTCTGATTAGAAATACTTGAATTAGAATCTTCCGGGCCATTTTCCTGGACAGAATTTTGGACGGCCCAGTCTGTACGAGGTACCGCTCTAGATCCGTAAGCAGAACGACCCCGACATTCCTCCTGCAGTGCAATCCCGTGTTCGCACATATCGGACCCTTTCAACTCATCCTGCAGACTCATTCGCACTGGGATTAAGGCGTTGATGCTTGTTAGGAGAATCAGTGTGATGCATGCCGACCACAGACCACAAGAGACAGTGAGCGCAACTTGAGCGCCAAGTAGCATCCACCTTCCTTGGAAAAGCTTGGCTGGCCGAGAGGTGTAACTTCCCGATTCGTCTACTTCCAAGAATAATGCGACAGCAATTAAACTCCAGACCCCAGAGCAAAGATGCACCGGGACACAGCCGACTGGATCGTCAATATGGAGCCGTGCTAATATATTGGAACTCGCACAGGCAACTAGACCACCAACCAGCCCGACTACTAGCGCGAAGCTTGGTCTGGTTATGGCACACACAGCTGAAATACGTGAAAAAAATTGCGAATCTTGGAGAAAAAATTCCTTACTAACTTTACATGAAAGTTTAATTGGAAAGGCTGTCCTTCACTCCCACAAATATACTTTGGAGACGGGTATACATCAACTACTAAAGACTGACCCCCTTTTAAACAACAAGTTATTGGAAAAATATTGTTTCTCATGTTTGATAATAATAGATTCCGAGTTTAACTTACGTTGACCAATTCGTGCATGCTTATTAACTATATTCACTGTATAGTGCAGCGAGACTTTCTATATTTTTATTACCGGTTACACCGACAAGGCCACCCAGCAGACCAGTTACAAATATTTGGATATCCAGCTTATTCTTGTAAAATATGTAACTAAAAATGAAAATAAGTAACGTTCAAAATGCAAAAAACATGCGCCTGTGTCAGTGTACGAGGAGTATCCTAATGGAATTACTTAGGTCAATTGAGCAGCAAAATGATCTATATTCACACCATCATAGAGTATGCACTCCAGGAAATCGGACATGAATATAAGAATATAAAAAATAAATATAAAACGATATTCCTTTTTTTAATTTTTACCAATAGATGTTTCATCAATAGAAGATTTGGAAAACAAACATCTTACACCTACCTGTAAAACATACCAACGATTCCTCCACCAATTGATGCATTGATCGTACACACGGCCGATCTGTGAAGCAAAACAGTTAAACATAAAAATTTCCGCGTGTTTCACAGTCCATAAACGTATATTTCTAAAAAATCGTAACAGATGCATGAAAGGGTTTCTATATATAATGTTTGTAATTAATGTGAAAATGTATATCCCAGTTGTTAATGCAAGTTCTTTATGTTACAGATTTCCCCTACATGACAGCTATATGACATTTCCCTGGCATGACAGTATAAGCTAGTATATATAACCGGCTGTTTTCATTAAGTTTCAATATGTAGACTGGATGTTCGTATAGAAGAAACCTTGTTTCTTGATTTCAGTTGTTGCATGACAACCGGTAAAACTTGTATGCACTATATATTTCGGTTGTTGACTACAGGTACAACAATATGCAATATAATTATCAATAGTTTTTGCGGTTCAAAACCAACACTATATACAATATAGTCTCGTTTCTCAAACATACCTCGCCGCAAGTTTCCATTTCTCTCCACTAATACCAAATGTACTTCCACAGTTGAAGCCGAGCCATCCCCACCAAAGCATGAATGTGCCAAGCAGGACGTTTGTCGGCGAGGCCATTTGGCTCACGTTCTCGCGACGGCCATGAGAGTCTCTTTTAAAGATACCAGTTCTGGGCTTCAGAAATATCGTCGCCACCAGTCCACTGACGCCACCAACCACGTGAACTGCACTGCTACCAGCAATATCAATGGCACCTTAATGCGGAATCATTAATTTTATATCAAAGTATACAGGGGGCTATCAAAAAAAGTAGTCTCCCCCCCATAAAAAGTACTTGCTTCAATTGCTTGAATTATATGTGAAGAGGGCACTAACAAATCATGTCTGTTTGTCTATATGCAATCAGTTTTATATCTTTGGGAGTAAAACTTGTGATTTAGAGCAATAGAATGCGAGAAAAACTACACGAATTGTTTTCTAGACGCATTTTAGCAGATATTCAGTGAAAAAATAATTTTGCTGTATACTTAGCACCCAAAATTTTACATTATGTAATAGTACCCAAAAAGATAATTCATATAATTCAATACAAGTATTAGTTCATAGTATATAATTTCAACATCTCTTTTCATATTTTTAGTAAGAACAAAACATTTGTTGCCAGTTTCTAGTCCCCGAGCCGGTGTGAAGCACCGGGCGAGGGTACTAATTCAAAAAAGAAGCGGGACCGAGAAGCCACTCGCATTATATTTGACAAAAAAAAAACGGTACGCTGTCATATCAATATATATATAGCGTCAGGGAGCCGATATTATAGTATCGTCGTCATAGTAATATGGCACATGCAAACTTGTCAATCTTTTTTCATATCTGACACTTGAACGTCATTTTGCTGCCATGAAATTGATGAGAAACAACCTTATATGGATAGCCACTTAATTCCAGTTGATATGACACGTATGACAACTTCACAGTTGGCTGTTAGCGAATGAAAAATCATTTTTTTCTTAAACAAATAGCAATAGCGATGAGTAAGTATACTTTGATAACTCTGGGAATAACTAAACAAATACGAATTTGACAGCATCCTGTGAAAAATTATATTATAATGCAGAATATCAATATATCTCTTTCAATCATGATACACCTGCTCCCATACAACGAGCGACAGTTATGTCTGTGAGGAATATTATTGATTATATATCTATATGTATCTGCATTCATGCCGCCACGTTTCTTCTCATCAAAAGGAATTATAGCCTCATTTATGGATTGATAACATCCCGTTTTTCACACAGAAATAAGCAACTTTCTTAACTTAGAAATTCATTGAGCAAATTTAGGAGCAGACAAACAATGCAGTCTACCGACTATTTCGATCGCCTACAAATGGTTAGAAAAAGCCGAGGAAAAATTCAAACCATCATTTATGTATTAATTAAAAATCGATCATATATAGTACTATATCTCAATAATGTGACTGATATTGGCCCACCGCGAGTGCGGCGTCAATTTGTTTTTCACAGTTTGCCATTCCCGATACTGTACTAATTTGAAGAGATATACGTACATTTAATGACCTGAATATAATTAGATGTTATATATATATGGCTAAGTCTTGTCATCGGTTTTTAGAAATCGAAATTTACCGCTATCGAGGGTGCATTTACTAGCATAATGTGCACGTTTCCTCTCCCATGCAATAAAAGAGTCAATCTTTCAGGCCTTTCTACAGCACGTTAAATTTTTCATTTAACTATAAGTCAAACAACATCAACTCACTTAGCCTATACCTCACCAAGCGCTGCCCCAACTGAAGGTGATTTACAGGAAATATTATATTATTCATTTGAGCTAAAAAGACGTACATCCAAAACAGGTACTTTTTTGTCAAATGGAAGGGAGAGTGATGCAATAATTCAGGGAAATGCAATAATTTATTTCTATATGGAGAGAGGGCACGCTACTTACCAAGTTCTTTGAGCCATCCATTTTCCGCCCAGATCCAATGAGCGGGAAAGCAATAGGTCAGCGTGTTGAAGAAAGAAAATGCTGTATATGCTTTCAAATTCGTTCTTTCTGCCATAGCTCCAGAAACGATTGTTGTTGCGGTGGTGGCAAATGAGAGTTGAAAGAAATATCTGGAATAAACATAGCCCATACGCTCGTTATCTGTGGCTTCCGTGAGAAACATCCCCATTCCTGAAAAGGCGTTCGAACCTGACCCATCACCAAAACTCAAGGCGAAGCCGAACAGCCAGTACGCCAAGCCACCAAATATCACATCGACCGCATTCTTAACCATAATGTTCACTTCGTTCTTACGCGATACTAACCCTGATTCCAATAAGCCAAATCCAGATTGCATTGTGAATATTATGAAGGCGCTTGTTAATATCCATGTGGCGTCATCCGAGTTAACTTCTTCATTATCATCGGCAAAGAGCCGTTGCGGATTTCCCGGTGATATATTACTTGTCAGATTTGACTCCATGCAAACGCAACTTTGAATTGAAAATGAGATCACTACCGGCTCAATACGTTAACCTTTCCCCTGTATATACTGTTAATTCCCTGTTCGTTCACACCAGAAGAGTTTCATATACATCGGAGCCTATATACAACAACAAAATGCAATCAATGTAAGGGTTTAGATCATTAAATAATTAAGTTACCATGGCTATGTCCACGCAAAATTAATTATCTTTCGCCTTTTTTCCTCCTTCAAAACAATTTCAAAAAACAATTATGTTAAATAGATCAATAATTATGATCCATGCAACAACATCGTTGTGTCTTTAGAACTCTAATGCAGATCATTATTTTTCGGAGGTGAATTGATAAATAATATATAGATATAAAAAATTATCATTCAATCTGGACATTTGATTACATTTAGTATACTAATAATGAATGCTTATGAGTGTAATGGTAAGAATATTTTCATGAGGTGAAAGATGGAAGCGAATGTTCCATTTCCGAGTGAAATAATAATAGTAATTAATAATTAATAAAAGTGAAATTATAATAATAATTATCAATAATAATAATAATAATAATTATTATTATTATTATTATAATAATGTAAAAGCACCGTACTAGACCGTGCTAATAGTTTTTTCCATTGCGCGGTCAGTAAAATGGAAATTTTTATTTCATGCCACGTGATCAAAAACAACCATATAATATAATTAGGTGTTATTTAAATGTAATATGAAATTCATATCATATACAGTTCAGTTTGAATGTGCTCAGTTTCAGAAAAGCAATGTTCTTTTATGTACAGCAGCAAAAAAAACGCAAAAAACTCGCACAATCAGGGGGCCATTCCGCTCCTTTGATTGTTCGATAAGCCATTTGACCTTACCTCAACTGATTTGTAGGGTGATCGCACTGGTTTGCATCCCAAGGGGGTGAAATCAGCCATTTTTAAGACATCCTATCCTGACCATAGAAGAAGTGCTGTATGATTTAAACGGGGCAACGGTATTTTATAGCAAGATAGACCTCAAATGGGGGTTTCATCAAGTTGAACTCGCAGAGGATTCAAGGGACATTACAACGTTTGTGACCCACCGAGGGTTATATAGATATCGTCGGCTGATGTTCGGAATCACTTCAGCTTCAGAGAAGTACCAGAAGATAATCTCGGATGTTTTGGCAGGGTGCAATGGGGTGGCAAATATCGCGGATGATCTTATTGTTGATGGGGCTGATCTATCTGAGCATGATGCGAATCTGTATAAAATGCTAACACGTCTGCGAGAGAAAGGTATTACTGTAAATGGGGACAAATATCAGTTTAGACTTCCGGCGTTGACCTTTTTTGGCCACAAGCTCAGCGCTCAAGGGGCGACACCAAGCGAGGAGAAAGTTGCTGCTGTAGTCAATGCAAGACCATGCACCACAAAATGTTTCGGAGGTAAGATCGTTTGTGCATGCAGCTAGTACAATATTCGGCAAACTTTATCCCAGACTTTGCACAGATCGCAGAACCGTTCCGTCGTATACTAAGACAGGAACAGCCGTTTGTTTGAGGATCAGAGCAGCAGCAAGCGTTTGACAAGCTGAAAATGATGATGACTAGGGCTGAGGCCCTTGCTTATACTTTAGAAACGACTGCAAAACGAAGATCGTTGCGGATGCTGGACCAGAGAGAATTGGAGTTGTGTTGTTACAACTGCAAGGAGATCAGTGGAGAGTGGTGTCGTATGCTTCCAGGAACATTTCGGACGTAGAACGGCGATACGCCCAAACAGAGAAGAAAGCACTTGCACTTGTGTGGGCTTGCGAGCAGTTTAATGTATATGTGTATGGCTGTGAATTCGAACTGGAAACTCATAAGCCACTAGAGTGCATTTTCAACAAAACATCGAAACCCTCCGCAAGAATCGAGAGATGGCTATTACGCCTTCAGGGCCAGAACTTCAAGGTAGTTTACCGCCCTGGGAAGACGAACATTGCCGATGCTCTGTCTAGGATGAATCAGAAGAGTCGAAAAGACCGCAGCAGTTAGAAAGAGGACACCGTTCGTTTTATTGCTATGGAAGCGACACCTGTGGCCTTGACGACCAAAGCAATATAGAGAGAGCGTCAGAAATTGATGCCGGATTACAAAGCGTGTTATAGTCTATCGAATCGGGAGATTGGACTAAATGTAAACTGTCGGCGTATACGTGCATAAAAAATGAGTTCTGCACGATTGGCAAGCTTGTTTTACGGAGAAATCAAATCGTCATTCCACAGATGTTGCGAAGAAAAGTCTTGGAAGCGGCACATGAGGGACATCAAGGAATAGTAAAGCCGGAAAAGCAGATTGAGAACAAAAGTATGGTGGCCCAAGATGGACATAGATGCCAAGCGAGTATGTAAATCTTGTCATGGATATCAGGTGGTCAGCCGCACCGGAACCTATAACCGGAACCGTGTAACGTACCGGAACCCATGAAACGGATCGAGATTCCTACAGGACCTTGGCAAGACGTCGCAGTAGATTTGATGGGGCCAATGTCAACCGGGGAATACTTGCTGGTAGTCGTGGACTATTATAGTCGATACTACAAAGTTGCCATTATGCACTCGACAACTTCGGGGAAGATTATCAAAGCGCTTAATGAAATTTTTGCTCGATTTCGTTTTCCTCACTCGCTGAAATCGGATAATGAAAAACAGTGAGGATTTCAAGAGGTTTTTACAGCAAGCGAATATTGAACACAGAACGTCACCACCATGCACTTTGACCACAAGCTAACGGTAAAGTGGAGCGCCAGAATCGCACTCTACTTAAGAGCACAAGGAACACTAAAACGTCATGGAAGCTAGCTGCAATCTACGAAAATGAACCATATACGGTGGTTACAAAGGAAGGGAACGCAATGATGGTAGAGGCTGACGATGGCTCAGTCTTTAGGAGAGACAGTTCATTTTTTAAACCATGTAATAAGCCAGTGAAGTCAAACCGAGGAACAACAACAACCGTAACCGGATAGCAAGACGGTTATTATCAATAGACCTAAGAGGGCAATTAGATTACTAGAGCGGGCAATTATAGATTACCAGAGTTTATCATGGACAAACCGAACTGATACAAATCTATTACGTAACATTATGAACGCGATAGTTCATGTACTTGAAGTTATGATTGTTTGTTTCGAACACTAAATTGACTGGAATTCCTTTCCAGGGATGTAGAATCGGGATACTTGATTAGATTTAGTTTAGATTTATTTGCATTAGCTCAAGTCACGCGATAAGCACCAGGAGTTGGTCGTTCTTGTTGTTCTTTCGTCTTGTTTGTATTAAAAGTGATTGTGAAAAACTAAATATAGATGTGAGTTTAAGTACATCGACAGGAGAACATTACAAGTCTGAAATAATATTGTTGTATAAAAGTTGAATGGACCGAGTCTTTTGGAGTGCTCGTAGGTTACCGGTTATGGTTTTGACTACAACAGATGCATTAGTTGGATCTCCCGAGTAACTTTAATAGCTTTATAACAAAAGCCAATACTATAAAAATCGATATTATTGATCATCGTTAATAGTTATCATCCGTTCGGCTGTTAACACCGCGGGGATTATAAATGCTATAGCAAAGAAAAAGTGCATGAGGGAATTCGATGTCATCGATATTTATATATAACTGTTAGCGTGTGTCAGCTCTTAAATACGCGTGAATAATAAAAACAAACTCCCTAACTGTAAGAAATATTGCGAAGAGTTTCCAAAAAAATGGATTTTCTTTTAATTGCGATCGACGAAGGAGAACGCTTCCTGAATCCTAATTGTGACGTCACGGCTAGATACTATGTCTTTTTAAGATTATTGGATGTAACATTGGCCTCGCTTTCGTATTTTTTGTATTTTTCGATAATAAGCTGTTGTTTAGAACCGGGCATTTAAGGTTTCTTTCTCGCCTGTTCATTAAGAAGATGTAGGAATGTTATAGTTACTTTGATCTTGAAGTGTTTAAAATATGAGTGAGGATTCTTATCAAAGCATCAGAATTTACCTTGCAGTCTTTTAACCATGAGAAATCCGCGGTATTTTAATTTGCTCACAAATTAAAGCCTGCTTTTTGTCAGCTAGAGTTTAATTTACCACAAATTTCGCTTAGTTCTTTTTTAAGAATTTCACAGCAGACCTAATTTCGTTTTGTGCTTTATTAAAGGATTTAGTTACACATCAAGCATATTGCTTAATAAATGTTCAAGAATTAACGCGGATTAACGTTTAGCACGTTGAAATTTCATTTATGCTGGTCTCAGATTTTATACAAATGTTACGAAAATTTTCAATGTTACAACAATGTTATGAAAAATTTCTTATATAAACAAGCATTTACAATATTAAAATTTCCGGATTACTGAAACACCCGGGCCGGTTGTATATCAAGCCCGTTTAGCTTAAACGGTGCCGGTGGTTAAGTCCAAAATAGAAAGCAACTCTATCGTTTTATTCAACAAGCAAACAAAATGTTTTTAACCTTAATACAAAGGTACTGTTTACAACTACATATTCTCTGCGTAATATAGTTGACTCATTCAAGAGAGATGTAAGAGTGTTATCTAATTTTGACTTATCCACCGTTTATGCTAAACGGGCTTGATACAACCGGCCACAGACCAGAACTAAGAAAATCCGTGTATGGAAATTTGTTATTTCTACTCAATTTTTTGAGAAAAGGAAGGGAAACTGTATGTGAATTCGACCTATAAACGGGCATGCTTATACTGGATTTCATTATACATAAAATTTGCACTCAATTCAACATTACAAAATGATAACAACACATAAAATTTGCACTCAATTCAACATTACGAAATGATAACAACACATAAAATTTGCACTCAATTCAACATTACAAAACGTTAAGCCATACTTTCAAAAACACCGAACTAGCTACCTCACTTAATTGTTACACTTTTTGCAGCGACATTTTCGTTTTGCGAAATCGTTTTAATGATCCCGATGACCTCGGTTTTTAGATTACTATATAGCATACAGCTGAGATTAAAAAGTACACAGAATTCTCTTTGATGGTTTGTTATTACAACATGGTGTTGTTATACTGCATAATAATGATATTTGGTGTTCATGATCATCACGCCTATAGCGATGAAATTCTGCATGATTATTATACAAAAGTAGCCTATATTTGAGCCGGCGAGAATATGTATCAGACAGCAATGCATGGACAATAATCTCAATAATCTTTATCCTGCATCTGTTAGAATTCATTAACACACAATTAATATATTCGCTTTTTTATTAAACTACCTATAGTATACGGAACATGAATATATATTGAACCGATACCAGGGGCCGGTTGTATCAAGCCCGTTTAGCTTAAACGGTGGTTAAGTTCAAAATAGAAAGCAAGTTTATCGTTTTATTTAACAAGCGAACTAAATAAATGTTTTTGACTTTAATACAAAGATACTGTTTACAACTACATATTCAGTGCATAGAATTCAAGTTGACTCATTCAAGAGAGATGTAAGAGTGTTATTTAATTTTGACTTATCCACCGTTTAGGCTAAACGGGCTTGATACAACCGGCCCCTGAGCGATATTTTTGCGAAAAGTGACATTTTGCTTTGAAATCGTCCCATGCATGCAGCTGCAACCGTCGTCAATTGCGCACCATCTGGAAAAAGTTGTCCATATATGCAAAGACAAAAGAAAAAGATAGCTTCGCGCAATCGATATATATAGTATATGGAAAAACGGCTTAATAAACTGATGATAAGCTGATTCCTCTATATATATAGCGCGATATTCAAAACTGAAGACAACGAAGTGCGGATTTTCGATTTAAACACAATAAAAGCTGGAACTTTGATCCGGATACATGCACCTTTCTCGAACATTTAGAAGCTCCGTGATGTTTTGAGTTATATTCTGCCTCCACTGATGCATTATGCTGATAATAGC